GGGTGGCTTGGCACCCCTGACTACACCTGCAGCAACGTTCGGGACGGCGCCGGGCCGTCTCAACCTCGTAGGTGCCGTCTTGGCAGGCGGCTCCTCTTTGATCGCTGCCTCTGGGTCAGCGCCGTTGTCGTCCCGAGTCCGCCTTGCGGCGGGCTCCGGTGTCACGGCCGTCTCCATGGGCACGTCGCCTGGGTGTTCGGAGGAGGCGTCGTCGCATGCGCCGGCTGCCTTGGCTCCAGGCCTCGACGCCTCAACGGACTGAACGTCCGGAGACTCGGCCTGGCTCGTCGACCCAGCACCAGGTGCCACGTTGACCGCGGACGTGGCCGTGCCGCTCTCGGGCGTCGCCGCCGCTCTCTGCGATGGTGCCGCCCCGCTGACCGCACCCGCGACGGCCTCCTCGGCGTCGGCCTCGTCCATGAGAAGCTCGGATTTCTCCTCGCCTCCCACAGGGCCCAGGGCCGCCGCGTAGGTCCTTACGCACTGCGTGCCGTCGTGGCCGAACCGTCGGCAGACGTTGCACTTGGGGACGCGGCACTCCTTGCGGATGTGCCCCGTCCGCTGACACCGCAGGCAGAGCGGCGCCCTGCCCGGCACGACGACGAGGGCGAGCTCACCGGCGACGCGCAGCTGGTGCGGGATGTCGTCGAGAGTCACGCCCCCCTTCAGGCGCAGCACCGCCGTCCGCGTCATGGTGCTGACGCTGTGGCAGCCGTCGATGTGCCACCGCTCCCTGGAGACGTCCAGGACCTTGCCATAAGGCGCCAAGGCTGCCCTCACGTCGTCGTCGCCGACGTTAAAAAGCAGCCAGTGGAGCTTGAGGCGTACGTCCCGGTTGCCCGGGTCGACGACGATGCACCGCCGCCCCTTGACGACAAGCTCCGACTCCGCCAGTAGCTTCTTGGACCCCTCGGTAGTCTTGAAGGTGACGGCCCAGACGTGATTCATTTGATACGCCCCGAGGGCGACAACGTCGGGGAGTAGTCCTAAGCGAGCCAGCGCGTCGCGAAAATCTTCGGCGCGATACGGACGTCCCTTGATATCAGCATGTAAAAAAACCGTATTTACCACGAGTGATCCGGTGGGCAGCGAAGGCAGGATGACAGCGTATTCCTTATCATCAAAGTCCCTGATACCGCGGCCCGGCTGGACCGCCGAAACCGCTCCGTCGGAGCTAGACATTCCGCGTCCGATCGCTTCGGCTGCCGGAAGTGGAATCCTATACTAACGAGGAGATACGGGAATAGCTGGATGGGAACTCTACCGCAACCTGGACTTTTCAATAAAGGAAAAAAAAAATGTGGGGGTAAAAAAAAAAAAAAATTATGCTCCCCGTCGGGGAATCGAACCCCGGTCTCCCGCGTGACAGGCGGGGATACTGACCACTATACTAACGAGGATTTTTTTTTTTTTATTTTATTTCTTTTCTTTTTTTTTTTTCCTTATTGCCTGTTTTTGTTTTACAGGTTTACTTCTTCAATAAAAGGTTAAAACATGAGCCAATTTGGCTGATAAGGAAAGTAACACAGAGTACAAATCGTCAGAGATCTTTGAGGGTCGCAAGCTTTTCAACCAGTGGCAGCCAGTCAGGAAGTGGCTGCTCCACCTTATAAATTTCTTTCAGGTAACACATGCTTTCAACGAAATACCTATGAACAGGACGCACATTAACGTCCGCGTGCCGTACCGCCATACGACATTGCCACAGGCTATGCAGTGCAATGAGCATAAACATGTCATAGGGAACAGTGTCTCCACCTTCCACAAACAAATATCGTATGCCATACGGCGTTAACGGGAGATCTTTTTTTAAAGTTCTTTGAAGGATGTCCCAAAAAAACACCGCATCCCAGCAATCTAGGAATACATGTTCTAAGGTCTCGGGTTTTTTACACAGCAAGCAGTTTTCAGACCATGCTACTGGTATGCCCTTGGACACTAACCAGGTTTTGACAGGGAGCGTTTCACTGTGCAGTTTAAAGAAAAACGTTTTTGCACATGCGGGGACAATCATTCTCTTGACTCTTTTTAAAACGTCTTGTCCTGGTGCGGCACTGTACAAGGATCGGTACAAGGGGACGGGAAACAGCGAGTCGGTCAGATCTCTCGACAACCGTTTACGGGGCACTCCTGACAAATATTCTTGCGAAAACCGCGCTCTTAAAAACCTATATGCGTCGATGACTTCCTTTAAATACCCTCGAATCAGGCCGCTGTAGCCACTTGACGCCACAATAAACTCAGGCATCACGTCTCGTAACCTCACTTGAATCACGGTGCGTAAAAATGGGTCCCTTTGGTCCCGAAGGAAAATAAACCTGTTCACGAGCTGCCTGATGAATAAATGAGAAAGACCAAGGCCCCCCGTTTTGACTCGGCGGAAAATGTTCGTTCGACTAGTTCGCTCCCAAACCGAATTCCATATAAAAACCGCAAACACTCGGTGCATACGTTGAATGTTATTCCGTGAACAGTGCAGCACCTGTAGCACGTACCACAGCTTAGCCATAAAAAAAACATTGCATACTGTGGCCCGCGCAAACATAGACAAACAGTTTCCCCCCCACTTGGTCGCCTTTGAGCGCATGGCTTCTGTTTCTTCGCGCCAGTACTCGTCATTGTTTCGGTAGTGTTCCAAAGGCACGCCAAGATAACGCACGGGCGTGGCAGACCAGACAATGCGTTCAAACACCATTGGCGTTGACGGCCAGTCGCCGTGCCAAAAACCGGTACACTTGTGCCAGTTCACTGAACTACACGTGTGTTCACAAAACACCCTAGTTAGATCAATGGCTCTTTTCACACTTTCCTTGTCGGTACAAAAAATAGCTACGTCATCCGCGTATGACAGCAGACGAACTTCGCTAGCTTGCAAACAAAATCCTTTCACATAACTATCGCGTATAACACTTAAACAAAAAGGCTCCAAGAAGATACAAAAAAGCAGCGGCGAAAGTGGGCAACCTTGCCGCACGGATGAAAAAAGGCGAATCCGTTCGCTAACACTCTTGTTGATAACTAAACTGGTGGCACAGTTACGGTATGCCATGCGCACGCCATCACACAAAACTGATCCTAAATTCACATGCTTCAAAATAGAAAAAATAATATCGTGGGACACCCGATCAAAAGCTTTTTCGAGGTCTATCTGTACCACTGCGACCCTTCGGTCCATCGCATCACAACATTCTAAGATGGAACGCGCAACATGTACATTCGTGACGATACTTCTCCCCTTGATACCACATGTTTGATGCGGACCGACTATAATACTTATAACGCTTTGTAGCCGTTCCGCCAGCACCTTCATTAAAATTTTGTAATCAACGTTGGTCAGTGTTATAGGACGATAGGACCCTACTTGGCGGAGTTTCACGTGATCTTCACACTTGGGAATTAAAATCGTATGGGTACATAGAAAGGACGGATGCAAAGCTTTAAGACGGTACGCTTCACTAAACACACGAAGCAATAAAGGTGCAATTTGGTCTTTGAAGGATTTATAAAATTCCGCTCCCAGACCATCCGGTCCAGGCGATTTTCCGGGCTGCAAATGGTCTATCGCTTTTTCAACTTCGCCCAAAACTATTGGCTGTTCTAGTCTTTCTTTAAGGTCTTCTTCTAGCCTCGTCATTAACGGCAGATAAAGCCTTTCAAACTCCGTCAACTTCGGCGTGCGATAACTGAAAAGCTCCTGATAATATTCGACAAACGCGCGTTCCACGGTTGTTCTATCACTAGACAGAACTCCTTGATACAAGATTTCGCTTATTTCATTTCCTCGCGCGTACTTCTTTTCTATTCCCAAAGCTCGTTTTGTTGGTATCTCGCCAAGCGATAACCGTTTCAAACGCGATCGCACCATGGCTCCCTTATAGCGTTCGGTATCAAGAGCCTCGAGTTGTTTTTTCAACTTGATTATGTCTTCTGAAAAAAGACCTGGTGAACGACATTCTTGGCGCGTTAACTCTTGTAGCAGGCAGCTTAGCTGTCTTATGTATTCCGTTTCCTCGTGTTTTAAAAAACTAGATCTTTCGATGGCACTCATTTTTATCTCTTGTTTAAAACATTCCCATTTTGCGCCGATACCATCCTCTGCGCGAGTCAAAGAGCAGAGATTTTCCCGAACATTCCCTACGAAGATATCGTCCTCTAATAACTTAGTATTAAATTTCCACAATTCCCAACTGAATTTCTTGTTAGCGTCCGGGGAAGAGGACAACATAAAAGAAACGAGGCAGTGATCGCTAAAAGATACGTGATCCACTGCGTAATTTTTGCTTATCGCGATAAGTTCGGGGGAAACGTAGGCCCTGTCTAAACGCGTGTGGCTCGCTCCTTGGAAGTGTGTAAACTGTAGGCTCCTTGCACTTGATGAAAAGTGAGCAACGTCTTCCAGTTCACACCGCTGTATCATATCGCACAAGTATTCAGAACTGACGTCTCGATATCGTGCTCCATTCGATCTATCCTCTGGGGCGCAAACGCAGTTAAAATCCCCCAACAAAATGACTAGGCGATCTGTTTGAATATACTTCGTAATATTTTCAAAAAAAAACCCGTCTTTCCTCAACCCGGTTAGGAGCATAAATACACACAACGCGAAAGGTGAAACTACAATAAGAAAAATCACAAAGTACCATCCTCCCCGACTCACAACTGATAACTTGTTCAACCTTTCCAATACACTTTTTAAGGAACACCAAACATCCTCCGGACATCCCAACTGCGTGGCTAACGCACACATTGTACTGAGACCCGAAAATCCGCACCATGCTTTCCGTCCGGTCTTCACTTTCTATCTTTGATTCTTGTACTGCGACAATGTCGAGGTTTTTATCGGCAAACAGGCGGCTCAGCTGACATTGCCTGCGTCTAGAACATAGGGCCCGCACATTTATAGTGCCCACACATAGGGGTCTTTCAAGCATAAGCTTTAGGTGGAAGCCCGGTGGAGAGCATAGAACTTACAAGGTCAGTCAGTGGCGTGCCGAAAAGACTTACTGCTTCTGTTCCTTGTTACGCGTTAAAGGCACAGACTGGGTCTTGAAACGTCCTACCTTGCCACACCACTCGCGTTCTAGGCGCCTCAGCTGAGCCTCCCCCCGGCCTGAAGGTGGGTCCTCCAGCGGCCGTTTCGCGCTCCCCGTCACTACGTCCATATCGTTGTTCTGATCGTCGTCCTTAGAAACTACGGCGTCTTCTCGTTGCGCGGGTCCCGCCGAGGTGCTAGAAGTCTCTGTGGCTTGATCGGGCACAACGTCTTGGCTCGCCTCGGTGTCCACCTTTTCTCTCGGTGCCCCGTGCGGAAGCTCCGGTGCCACAGGTCCTGGTATTGAGCTGGCCGCTGCCGCCTCGTTGCTTGGTTGCTGGGCCAGTGAAGTCGACGGTGCGGCTGCCATCTCAGCCTCGTCCTCGTCCATCACAAGCTCGGATGCTACCGTGTCGGTGTTGCTGCCGGTGACACGGGCGTACGTCTTGACGCAGTCCCTGGTTTCATGCCCGAAGGCCCGGCACTGCGAGCACCGAGGTGCTCTGCAGTCTCGACGTATATGGCCAGTGCGCCGGCAGCGCAGGCATATCGGTGCGCGTCCGGGGACGACGACCAGGACCGTGCCTCCGCCAATCCGAAGCTGGTGTGGGAGGCTCTCCAACGGTATGCCTTCGTTCAACGTCATCCGCACGGCCAGCGTTGTAGACTCGACGTCCACGAAGCCTTCAACCTTCCAGGTCTCTCGAGTGATATCCTTGACAGACCCGTACGGCTCGAAGGCCCGTCGCACCGAGTCCACCGGGACGTCAAAGGTCACCCAGTGGAGCTTTATACGCAGCTCCCTTCGGCTGGGGTCGACGACGTGGCACAGCTTGCCCTTTACCTGCAGACTTCCGGCCTCCAGCAGTTTCGCCTTCGCCTCCGGCGTGCGCAACTTGAGCAGCCAGACGTGACTCATCTGGTAGGCTCCCAGGCCTGCCACGTCCGAAAGAATGCCTACCTGGTGTAACGGCTGCCTAAAGTCCTCAATCCGGTAGGGGCGTCCTTCAAGGTCAGCGTGAAGTACAACGCTGAGTTTCGCCGTCTCCCCGGTCGGCAGCGGAGGCAGTTGAAGCCTATAGTCCTTCGGCAAAAGGGTAACACCATTATCACCGCGGCCGGGCTCGGCCGCCCCCGATGACGGAGAGCGATTCATATCACGTCCGCTCGCTATCGCGTCCGGAAGTGGAATCTTATTTTATTTCTTTATTGCAGGAGGAATGCAAAAACGGTCATGTCACTTTAAAAAAAAATGCTCTGCAAGACTTATTGCAGGGTACATTAAAATCCTCGCATTTCGAGGAGCGGTTTACAAATGTCTAGCCACTCGGGTTTTGTTTTACGGTTTGAAAAAACACTTTCCACTTGCTTAACAAGGCTGAAAAAATAATGATGCACTTCTTTCACACTGGGGTCGGCATGACGGACCGCCATGCGCGACCTCCAAATACTGCACAAACCCAACAACATAATCATATCAAAAGGTATGCCATCATCGTTACTCACATTCAAGAAACGTATAACTGATGGGCTAATGCACAGTTGTTTCTTCAACGTGCGCTGCAGCACATCCCAAAAAAAAAACCGCATCCCAGCAAAAAATGAAAACGTGCTCGATGGTCTCAGGTTTCTTACATAAAATACAGTCTACCGACCACGGAACATCAATACCCTTTCCTTCAAGCCACACCTTAACGGGCAGTGTATTGGAATGCAGTTTAAAAAAGAACGTTTTAACGGAAGGGGGAACGCACATATTCTTCACTCGCTTGAGCACATCTTGGCCCCCGCTACAGACTACAGTTCTATACAACGGGGTTGGAAACAAACTTATCAATAAATCGCGTGTAAGTGTTTTCTTGCTAACAGCAGACAAATACTCAAAAGAAAAACGAGCAGACAAAAATAACACTGCGTCTACCACCTCCTTTTGATATCCCACTAATCTCTTAAGTTCGCCGCCATGAGACGAAACGAGAAAAGATGGCAAATGAGGAGACAATTTGGTTTGTATAAATGTACGTATGAAAGGATGCTCTTGGTCTCGTAGAAAAAAGAATCGGGACACAATCTGTTTGCAAAACAAATGCGAGAGACCGAGACCACCGTGACGAATCCGATGGAAAAGATTGTCTCTCCTCATCGGCTCCCACTTTGAATTCCAAATAAACGTGGCAAAAACACGGTGAAATTTCTGCACATTCAAGCGAGCACAATGAATGGCCTGCATCACGTACCATAATTTTGCAATGAGAAAAATATTACATACTGTCGCTCTGGCAAATATGGACAGCTCACGCTGCTTCCAACGGGAAGCGCGTCTGTCCAGGTCGGCGGCGACTCCCGACCAATAGGATTTGCTTTGCCTGTAACATTTTAGTGGCACACCGAGGTAAGTGCACGGCACACGGTCCCAACACACCCCTTCAAACACCGAAGGGGTTGTGGCCCACTCTCCGTGCCAAAACCCACGGCACTTGCTCAAATTTATGGCTGCCCCTGTAGCCTTACAGAAGTCTCTTGCCAACTTCACAGCCGCGCTAATACTTGGCTTATCGCTACAAAAAACCGCGACATCATCTGCATAGCTCATGACTTTTATCTCCTCATTTTCCATCCGGAATCCGTGACATTGATACTAACGAGGAGAGACGGCAATAGCTGGATGGGAACTCTACCGCAACCTGGACTTTTCAATAAAGTAAAAAAAAAATGTGGGGGTAAAAAAAAAAAAAATTATGCTCCCCGTCGGGGAATCGAACCCCGGTCTCCCGCGTGACAGGCGGGGATACTGACCACTATACTAACGAGGATTTTTTTTTTTTTATTTCTTTATTGCAGGAGGAATGCAAAAACGGCAATGTCACTTTAAAAAAAAATACTCTGCAAGACTTATTGCAGGGTACATTAAAATCCTCGCATTTCGAGGAGCGGTTTACAAATTTCTAGCCACTCGGGTTTCGTTTTACGGTTTGAAAAAACACTTTCCACTTGCTTAACAAGGCTGAAAAAATAATGATGCACTTCTTTCACACTAGGGTCGGCATGACGGACCGCCATGCGCGACCTCCAAATACTGCACAAACCCAACAACATAATCATATCAAAAGGTATGCCATCATCGTTACTCACATTCAAGAAACGTATAACTGATTGGCTAATGCACAGTTGTTTCTTCAACGTGCGCTGGAGCACGTCCCAAAAAAATACCGCATCCCAGCAAAAAATGAAAACGTGCTCGATAGTCTCAGGTTTCTTACATAAAATACAGTCTACCGACCACGGAACATCAATACCCTTTCCTTGAAGCCACACCTTAACGGGCAGTGTATTGGAATGCAGTTTAAAAAAGAACGTTTTAACGGAAGGGGGAACGCACATATTCTTCACTCGCTTGAGCACATCTTGGCCCCCGCTACAGACTACAGTTCTATACAACGGGTTTGTAAACAAACTTATCAATAAGTCGCGTGTAAGTGTTTTCTTGCTAACAGCAGACAAATACTCAAAAGAAAAACGGGCAGACAAAAATAACACTGCGTCTACCACCTCCTTTTGATATCCCACTAATCTCTTAAGTTCGCCGCCATGGGACGAAACGAGAAAAGATGGCAAATGAGGAGACAATTTGGTTTGTATAAATGTACGTATGAAAGGATGCTCTTGGTCTCGTAGAAAAAAGAATCGGGACACAATCTGTTTGCAAAACAAATGCGCGAGACCGAGACCACCGTGACGAATCCGATGGAAAAGATTGTCTCTCCTCATCGGCTCCCACTTTGAATTCCAAATAAACGTGGCAAAAACGCGGTGAAATTTCTGCACATTCAAGCGAGCACAATGAATGGCCTGCATCACGTACCATAATTTTGCAATGAGAAAAATATTACATACTGTCGCTCTGGCAAATATGGACAGCTCACGCTGCTTCCAACGGGAAGCGCGTCTGTCCAGGTCGGCGGCGACTCCCGACCACTATAGGATTTGCTTTGCCTGTAACATTTTAGTGGCACACCGAGGTAAGTGCACGGCACACGGTCCCAACACACCCCTTCAAACACCGAAGGGGTTGTGGCCCACTCTCCGTGCCAAAACCCACGGCACTTGCTCAAATTTATGGCTGCCCCTGTAGCCTTACAGAAGTCTCTTGCCAACTTCACAGCCGCGCTAATACTTGGCTTATCGCTACAAAAAACCGCGACATCATCTGCATAGCTCATGACTTTTATCTCCTCATTTTCCATCCGGAATCCGTGACATTGATTACTGTTCTGAACACTTAAACAAAAAAAGTTCCAAATAGAGGTTAAACAATAACGGCGACAAGGGACATCCTTGTCTTACGGATGTTCGCACACGTATCGGTTCAGTCAATTCCCTGTTCACAATGAGCCTAGTGGTACACTCTTGGTACGCCATTTTAACCCCGTCCAAAATACGCTCGCCCACATTCACGTGCTTTAAAACATCAAAAAGGACATCGTGCTTAACACGATCGAAAGCCTTATCTAGGTCCAGTTGAAGCATGGCAACTTGGCCCATGCCATCGTCACATGCCTCCAAAACAGTTCGGGCAACGTGCACATTCGTCAAAATAGATCGACCCTGTATTCCACAGGTCTGATGATCTCCAATGAGCTGGCAGGCAACACTCTGGAACCTCCTCGCTAGGATTTTAGCAAAAATCTTGTAATCTACATTACACAGAGTTATCGGGCGGAAACCAGTGACTTGACGTAGTTTCGCAACGTCATCGCTTTTGGGAATTAACACAGTGTATGTACGTGAAAAAGACGGCGGCAGCACTTTCCTATCGTATGCCTTACAAATCACTTCTAAAAAAAGCGGAGCGATTACGCTCTTGTATTTCTTATAAAATTCGGCGCATAGCCCGTCCGGTCCTGGCGTTTTCGATCTCGGCAAATCGTCTATTGCTCTCTCGACCTCTTGAAGAGTGATCGGCTCTGTGAGGTTTTCCTTCTCCTCTTCCGTTAGTTGCGGCAGGGACTCTAGAAGTTTTCCACACATAGGGTCCTGCCTTCCTTTCACTTGGGTTTCAAAAACTTGCCTATAGTGTGCGACAAAAGCCTGCTCAATACTACTTGGGCTCGTGTTAATCACTCCGTTGTACTCGATTTCGCCAATTTCGTTGCGAAGCGCGAACCTTTTCTCATCCGCCAAAGACCGTTTAGTAGGCTGTTCTCCCATCAAGTACTTCTCTGATCGAGCCCGAACAATGGCTCCGCGGTAACGCTCTTGATGAAAATGCGCCAGGCGTTGCTTAACCGTTTCCAAATCTTTAAGAGCTGTGCCGGGTCGCTCACACTCAGCTCTTGACAGAGCTTGCAAATCTTCGATTAAACCACGTTCGTCGCAACGCGCCTCGTACGCTAAAATCGACGACCTTTCGATAGCGAGCATCTTCACTTCCTGTTTGATGAGCTCCCACGTCTCGAATATATCGCCCCTTGCGGTTTTAAAAAACGTTTTGAAGACGTTATTTACCGCTGCAAGAAAACTTTCATCATCAAGCAGTTTTGTGTTAAGCTTCCACAGCTTCCAGTTAAACTTGGCCTTCGGCGGCGCTTTTTCGCCGATCGTTGTCGAAATCATGCAATGATCCGAAAAAAACACAGGTGTGACGCGATACTTTCTTAACACTGCTGCCGCGGAGGCCGATACGTATACTCTATCTAGGCGCGCATGAGACGACGCTTGGAAATGGGTGAAACGAATCTCGCTCGTTTCGTTCGTCACCGTTCCGGCGTCAACCAAGTCAAAGTCTTCAACCAGTTCGCTTAAAACGTGCGCACTCTTGTCGCAGCTCCGCCTCAGGGGCGTTCTGTCTGCTGCCCTTACAACGCAGTTAAAATCGCCCAACAACACAATCGTTTTATCACAATCTAGAAAACGGCGTAAGCCAATAAAAAAGGAAACACGGTCTTTAACCGTACTAGGCGCATACACACAAACAATTCGCCACTGAAAAGACGCCAAAGAAAAATCGCACATGATGAACCGCCCTTCCGTGTCGGTGGTTACAGCTAACTCCGACAAGGGCAGGGACTTTTTAAGAAAAAGAAAACATCCGGCAGAAAAACCAACCGCGTGGGTGACACAAACTTCGTACGACTGCAGAAAAGGCCTAAGCGCACTAGCAACCTGTTCCTCCTCAGCCATTTTAGTCTCTTGCACCGCTAAGAAATCGGGTTTCTCTTGAAGCAGCAAACGCTGCAATTGGTATTGTTTTTTCCTGGCGCTCAAACCTCGAACATTTAGCGATGCGACCGTTATTGCTGGTTGGAACGTACAAATCATGTGTTTTGCTGTAGCACTTGCCTTGGCTTTCGGACGTCAGTCTTTGTAACCAGGCGTTAGCCGCCTTACTTGCTGTTGAGTCGCCTCCGGTCATCTGGGGTTAAGGTGGGCGTGGGCTGGAAACGCCCCTTCTTTGTCCTCTCCATCCAAGGGTTGGGCCTGGGTGTCATGCCCGGCGTCGGTGGAGGGTTCTCGTCGAGACCACGCTTGATGGACTCGGTGGTTTCGTCCATAGTGTCGTGACCTTCGGAAGGCGCCTTCTCGAAAGTCGGGGGGGAGGCCTCGCGCGGGGCTACAGTCTTCTCCATTGGCGTCGCCGTGGGAGGGGGTGCCGCGCTGCCTGGTTCAGGAAAGCCACCAGCCACCTCCTTCTTCTTCTTGTCCTTTACCGGCGAGACTTCAGTCGAGCCGTCCGCTCCAACAGAATGACTGCAGGGCTCACCAGACGGTGGAGCTTCGTCTTGTTGTCCCTGAGCGGAACGCTCAGCCTCGTCGATATCCATGGTCAGGGGCGAAAGGTCTTCCGCCGCCGCTCCACCAGTTACTCGGGCGTAGGTCTTTACGCACTCCTCCTTCTCGTGGCCGAAACGTGAGCACACCGAGCACTTAGGCACGCGGCAGTCGCGCCTGATGTGCCCGGCACGCTTACAGCGCAGGCAGACCGGCGCCCCCCCCGGGATTACGATAAGGACGTTCGCCCCCTGAAGCCGCAGCTGATGAGGCATTCCGTCGGGCGTGACGCCGCTCTTCAGCGTCATGCGTGCCACCCGGGTAGTCGACTCGATGCCCTCGAATCCCTCGACGCGCCACTTCTCACGTGCGACTTCTATAACCTTGCCGTAGGGCTCCAAAAGCTTGCTCACCGCGTCGTCCGTCACATGATACGGGACCCAATGGAGGCGTAGACGGACTTCCGTGCTGCTGGGGTCGATGACGACACACCTCAGGTCCTTCACCTTCAACTCTTTGCAGTCGATGAGCCGCTTCTTGGCTTCCGGCGTTCGCAGCGTGGCTAACCAGACGTGGTTCATCTGGAAAGCACCGAGCGCCACAATCTCGGACAGGACGGCGCACCGCTTCAGTTCTTGCCGGAAATCTTCGATACGATAGGGGCGGCCTCTCAGATCGCAGTGCAAAAGTACTGAATTTAAAATTGTTGCACCCATTGGGATGGGAGGCAACACCACCTTGTAGTCCTCGGCAGACGATGACGCAGCAAAAGTACCGCGGCCAACTGGGGCCGTTGTCGCAGCTCCGTTGGAGCCAGCCATCCTGCGACCGTTCTCGGCGAGTGCCAGAAGCAGAATGTATACTAACGAGGAGAGACGGGAATAGCGGGACGGGAACTCTACCGCAACCTGGACTTTTCAATAAAGGAAAAAAAAAATGTGGGGGTAAAAAAAAAAAAATTATGCTCCCCGTCGGGGAATCGAACCCCGGTCTCCCGCGTGACAGGCGGGGATACTGACCACTATACTAACGAGGAGAGACGGGAATAGCGGGACGGGAACTCTACCGCAACCTGGACTTTTCAATAAAGGAAAAAAAAAAATGTGGGGGTAAAAAAAAAATTATGCTCCCCGTCGGGGAATCGAACCCCGGTCTCCCGCGTGACAGGCGGGGATACTGACCACTATACTAACGAGGAGAGACGGGAATAGCGGGACGGGAACTCTACCGCAACCTGGACTTTTCAATAAAGGAAAAAAAAAAAATGTGGGGGTAAAAAAAAAATTATGTTCCCCGTCGGGGAATCGAACCCCGGTCTCCCGCGTGACAGGCGGGGATACTGACCACTATACTAACGAGGAGAGACGGGAATAGCGGGACGGGAACTCTACCGCAACCTGGACTTTTCAATAAAGGAAAAAAAAAAATGTGGGGGTAAAAAAAAAAAAAAATTATGCTCCCCGTCGGGGAATCGAACCCCGGTCTCCCGCGTGACAGGCGGGGATACTGACCACTATACTAACGAGGAGAGACGGGAATAGCGGGACGGGAACTCTACCGCAACCTGGACTTTTCAATAAAGGAAAAAAAAAATGTGGGGGTAAAAAAAAAAAAAAATTATGCTCCCCGTCGGGGAATCGAACCCCGGTCTCCCGCGTGACAGGCGGGGATACTGACCACTATACTAACGAGGAGATTTTTTTTTTTTTTTTTTTTCTTTATTGCCTGCTTTGACATAAGCCAACACAAGGGACGCAACCACATACATATGCACACAAAGTTAAAACGCGTCAGCCAAGCGCAGCTGCCGCGAGTACATTTAAAAGCGCTTCAACGAGACCAAATCATCAAGTATTCGCAACCATTCAGGCGGTTCAGGCAGCGCGCGGAATACCTCGCGAATATAGGAAACGTTTTCAATGAAATAATCTCTCGCAGGGCGCACATTTACATCTGCGTTATGCACACCCGTCCTAGTCCTCCACAGGCTGTGGAGGCCGAGGAGCATAAACATGTCGTACGGGATGCCACCTTCGTTCTCTAGCGGCAAGAAACGAATCCCATACGCAGTTAGAGGCATGTCTTTCTTCAACGTGCGCTGAAGAACATCCCACAGGAACACAGCGTCCCAGCAGTCGATGAACACGTGCTCTATAGATTCGGGAACCTTACAAAGAAAACAATTTACAGACCACGGCACAAAAATACCTTTCGCTTTGAGCCACGGTTTGACTGGGAGCGTGCCACAGTGTAGTTTAAAGAAAAAAGTTTTCGTCGATGGTTTGACCGGCATACTCTTTACCCTTTTAAGCACATCCTGCCCTGGGCCCCACCCGTACAATGACCTGTAGAGAGGGATGGGCAGCAAAACGTCTGCTAGATCTTTGTAGAGTCGTTTTCGAGGCACGGAACTCAAATACTCCATAGAAAAGCGTACCGCTAGAAAACGAACAGAAAGTACCACTTCACGGAGAAAACCTTGAATACTAGCGCGGTAACCGTCACTGGTTGACACTACGTACTCAGGTAGTGCATTTCGCAGTCGCACCTGCATGACTGCTCGCAAAAAGGAGTGTTGCTGGTCACGGAAAAACACAAAACGAGACACTATTGGCCGCATAAACAGGTGCGACAATCCCAGACCTCCATTGCGAACAGACCGGAACAAATTCGTGCGAGCCGAACGCTCCCAGCACGAACTCCAAATAAAAACGGCGAATACTCTGTGCAGCCTCTGCACGTTAAGGCGCGACATTGACAGCACTTGCAACATATACCAAATTTTAGCGATCAAAAATAAATTACAAACTGTAGCGCGCGCAAACATAGACAAGTCTCTACCCTTCCAACCCTCCACTTTGGCCTTCACTCTTTCCGTTTCTTCACTCCACAGTAGCGTGCAGTCCCGGTAGTGCTCGAGTGGCACACCAAGATACTTTGCGGGCATGGCTACCCACTGAACGTTTAAAAAAACCTCCGGCTTGGAGTCCCAGTTTCCGTGCCAGAAACCGGCGCATTTCCCCCAGTTTATAACACTCCCCGTATTGTTGCAAAACGAAGAAGCAACACGGACCGCCTCACGCACGCTGTCCTGATCGACGCAGAAGACCGCAACGTCGTCCGCGTAGGACAGAACTTTTACCTCGCAAGACTCCAGCCTGAAGCCACGTATGTTTACATTGTGAATCAGTTTTAAACAAAAAGGTTCTAAGTATATTGCAAATAGCAAGGGGGACAGTGGACAGCCTTGCCTTACAGACGAAAGGACAGGTACACTTTCACTAGCTTTCTTATTTACAATAATAGACGTTGTACAATTCGCGTACGCCATTTTTAAACCATCTAATATTGAGGACCCGACGTTCGCGTGTTCCAAAATACGAAAAAGAATCTTGTGCGACACCCGGTCGAACGCCTTCTCCAGGTCTAACTGCAACATGGCCACACGGCAACCGAGATCATCGCAACATTCCAGAATACTTCTTGCTACATGAATATTCGTAAAAATAGTGCGCCCTTTAATACCGCATGTCTGATGCGGTCCCACAAGACTAGTTATGACATTCTGTAAACGCCTGGCGAGGATTTTCATAAAAATTTTATAGTCAACATTTGTTAGACTTATTGGCCTGTAGGAGTCGACTGACAAAAGCCTTGCGGGGTCGTCGACCTTTGGGATGAGGACAGTGTGTGTCCTCAAAAAGGAGGGTGGCAAAACACGCTTACAATACGCCTCGGTTATCACCTGATACAAGGCGTCGGCTGCCTCCCTTTTAAACAATTTATAAAATTCCGCACCGAGGCCGTCCGGGCCGGGCGTTTTGCCAGAAGTTAGTTCATCAATGGCCGTCTCAATCTCACAAACTGTAATCTGCGCTTCTAATTTTTCGCGAACGTCATCTTGTAATTTCGGCATTAAGGGCAAAAATTTATCATTAAAGCTGTCGTCAGCAATAGCACTACACGCAAAGAGACCCCGGAAATGCTCAACAAATGCTTTCTCGATTATATCTTTATCGCGAGTTATCGTGTTATTATATCGTATTTCTTTAATCTCGTTTCGCTGCGCCTGCCGTTTTTCATCACTGAGCGCCCGCTTCGTCGGCTTTTCACTTAACCACAACCTTTCAGATCGCGCCCGCACAACAGCCCCACGGTACGTTTCGCAGTCAATGACCTCCAGTTGATTTTTGATACTTCTTATTTCATCGACAAACTCGCCTGGCTTCGCGCTTTCTTCGATCAGGAGGATGTTCAACTGGCGCCGCAGCTCCTTCTCCTTCTGCTTCCTCTGTTTACTGAGAATAGTACTCCTCTCAATAGCAGCCATTTTAACTCCCTCTTTAAAAAATTCCCACCTCACCCCCCATACTGTGTTTATCCTCGTACAATTCCTTGAATAGAGCATCTACCTTTGATTTAAAAACTTCATCCTTCAGGAGGCAACTGTTCAACTTCCATAATGACCAGTTCCACTGAGGCACTTTGACTTTCCTCCCAAGAGTAAACATAACTAGAGCGTGATCACTGAAGGACACAGGCTGAACCAGGTAATCGGAGCACAAAGGAACTAAATCCAGGGATATGTATGCTCTGTCGAGCCGGGCGTGGCTTTGGCCTTGAAAATGGGTGAAAGGTACGCTGCGTTTGGAGGAAACAGATGCTACGTCCTCTAATAAATTCTCCGCGACAATATCGTTTAATAAAATAGCGCTGTGGTCGCGGACGCGGGCCTGATTCGAGCGATCCTCAGGCGCGCACACACAATTAAAATCGCCAAGCAAAATAACATACCTCGCACAGTTAATATACTCGTTAATAGTTTCGAAAAAAACTTTGCGCTCGCGCTCGCGAGTCGGTGCGTAAACACAAATGACACGCCATTCGACGTTAGAAAATGAAAAATCGCAGATAACAAAGCGGCCGAACGCACACGCAAACATAGCCGTCTCAATCACACCTAGTGACCGGCGAATAAACAAACAACAGCCGCCCGAAGTTCCATCGGCGTGCGCCACACAAACGTTAAAAAGAGTTCGAAAAGGTTGCACCATGCGGTCCGTCCGCTCTTGGCTCTCGACCTTTGTCTCCTGAACAGCGATGATATCCAGCTCGTTCTCAGAAAACAGTCGGCTCAGCTGGTATTGCCGGCGCCGGGCTGCAAGCCCGCGGACATTAATCGTTGCCGCTCTTAGAGGTGCCTCTAATATCACCGCCATTCAGGAGGAGGAGCCACGGACCGCACGGAGCTTACCTCGGCTGGAAAAGGCTGTCTGACACGTCTCTACGATGGTCTGTCGCAGACTCCGACGCTCCGTTCGACCTCCGGTGCACACGCTCACGGGGGAGGCTTAGCCCCCCTTGTGCCATCCGCAGGGATGTTGGGCTTGACTGCGCGACGCCTCCACATGGGTGTCGCTTTAGGGGGCGGCTCCTCTTGCTTCACCGCCGTAGGGTCCGAGGCGTCATCCTCCCGTGTCCTTTTCGCGGCCGCACCGCCCGCAGAGGCATCCGGGTCGGCCATGGTGACATCGGCGGCTGGATCCTCGTTGGCGACGTTGGGGGCGACGTTGGGGGCGACTTCTGCCTCATTGTGCGGTGCAGACGTCTCCACCGCAGGTCTATCCCGCTGCCCCGCTTGCCCTGCCTCGACCGCAAATGGTGTTGTGCCGCTGGTGTTCGGGGCCGCACCGCCTGCAGGTTCAGGGGGCCCGCCCGCCACAGGACTCTCCTTGCCAGTTGAACCCGCACT